ATATATATATATATATATATATATATATATATATATATATATATAGCACACAGAATTAAGTGCTTAAAAAGTTTCTTCAGTATAAACCCTTTGCATGGTATTGATATATTTTATAACTAATTTTTTTTCCAAGTTTACCAGCAATTAAAAGCACATTATATGAACATTGACTTCTGATTGTATGTGATTGTACTGATAAATATATAAACAGGTAATTTGGAAAACTACTTCATTAAAATAAAATAGATGGAACATTTTGGATTTTAACCATTTGTAATTTTGTTTCATGTTTACAGTCTATATTTTCTTTTATTCATATAGCTCATGACTTCACCAAGTATTATCATTTTTATGTAGAAAGATTTCCTCAAGATTAACTTGCTTTACTGCTCAAATTTTCAAAGCCTATTAAATTATTTTAAAAGTATACTAAAAACTTTTTAAATTAAACATTATATGAAATTAAAAGAAATAATTCTCCAAATCAAGAGGAGAGACTAGTTATGATATATGTAATTTCTTTAGTTAACATTTTCATACAAAAACATACTTGATATAAATTAGCATGTTTATAAAAGATTATTTTGTGAAGAAGTCTATTAACCTACAACTTTATATATCTGTTGATATCAACACCATCCAATACTGCAGACTTTACAAAGATGAAATGACCAAGTTATAAATAAAGACACAAAGTTTACAAAACACTTAACCTGAAGCATCTTATAAATATGGAAACAGGACTTCCTAGAAACTAATTGACTTGAATGATGCATTTTTGTAGTGTGCACATTTAGAAAGATCTATCTAAATACTAAGTATTTTTAAAGTGTAGCATGAAATTTTAAACATTTTCTCACATATTTAAAATTTATAAATAAATTTTAATAATAGTTTAATTAAGGAAAATTTATCAGACATTGATATATTCCTGCAAAATTCAGTGTCTATATTTAAAAAATTTGTTTTAGGCAAAAAATTAAAATAATTTAAGTAAAAATGTGTTTAAAGAAAATTAATGGCTATAAATGCAACAGATATAAATAAAGTATAAAGGAATGAAGTATACAAACAAATGAAATCGGTTAGTGCTTCTTAAGCACTTCCTCATAAATCATTGCAATATCACAAAAACTTATGATTGACTGTAATTTTTTGTCCTTTATCCAAAAACATTTTACATACACTAATTATAAGCTTCATTTTTTTTTTTTACATTATTACATTAACAGTTAATCTGAGGTATATTTAAGTGTTCCTAAATTTAAAAATTCTGAAAAAAAGTAACATTTTTACTGTCTATAAATACTTGTTGAAAAATAAATTCATCAGAGGAAATGAATGCATCAACTAAGAAAAGCTTATCTTTTGTTTTTCATTATCATGTACTGTATTTTTTTCTTTTTGTTCAATTTATACAATGATCAAATATTTAATAACTTTGAATTCATTAAAACTGACATTATTACTGTGTTAAAATACTTTATTCATAAATAGCTGATAATAAAAAAAAAAAATATCAAAACTATAAGTTTATATAAAATCTGATTATAAATAGTATTGAAGAACCTGGAGTGTCAAAGGAGAACATTGAGAAGTAAGGAAGCCTCAGAATAGTAAGCAAGAGAAATATAGATATGTACATGACATTTTTTATTCAGCAGTTGCTCGTGTTTTATTCTTCTCTTGGTCTTTTCTATGGAAATGAGTAAATCATTTTTACAGAATAATTAATTATACTAAAATAAATAGCAAGACATTTGCTTTCCAAATTTTGTTCAAAATTAATTCCTTTTTTTCATGTTCTTTAACCTTTAGTATTCTGCATTATTAATATTACTTCCCACCGCATCTTTTTTCATTCTCAATTGTAATATCCTTATTGTTAATTTCACTCAAAGTTGTTTTCTGTTATCAAACAGGATATGACAACATAACTATGAAATTCAAATACCCTATTCTTCAGGAATCAGTCACATTCAGTGGCAGGGTAAACTTTTTGTACAGAAAATGAAGTCCCATACAGAGTGATAAAGATTAAGTCTTTAACAATTTTGTCTATAAATTTGAGAAGAGTCATTAATATTCCAAGTTGTCATTGACCGTTTACTCCTCCTCCTTTGTAGTCTCGTTAACACACTGTTTTGGCCAATCGATTCTCCAGTCTTCATCATGTTTATACTCCATAAATAAGAGTCATACAACTGAACAATTCACTATAAAACATAATTAGAATAAGAAAATAAGAAAAAAACAGACATTTCAACTAAAAACTACCTCCACTATTTTCTTATCTTAATCTAGGCTTTACATGACAGATATTCTTTTGAAAGATATAAATTCTAGAAATAATTATTTTGAGATAATTTGTTTCAAATATCTAAGAAAGTAAAAATGTCATTCATAATTGGAGCTAAAATGCAAAGGATTGTTAAAACTTGAATCTATAATCATTTAAATTTTGTCATTTTCTTAACTAAAACTTTTCAACATTTGATAAATTTATAATATAAAAAAACTGAAAACAATTGAAATATGCCATTATTGTCAATATAGATTAATCTAGATTTGATTACCTACATTAATTCAAAACTTTAATTAGATTTAGTGTAGCTTATTTATCTACAATCACTTTTAATATGTGATTATATCTAAAAAAAAAAAACTGTTTTTGAATCTTGTATAGATATATAATAATTAAGCACTAAGTTCATACATAGCCAATATTATTTATTGAAACTTGTTGCAATATCTTATTTAATTTTATAAGCTCTCTGACTATTATCATTATTATTTTTTATGCTTTTCATGAAGGTATTCATGTTCGTTTTTCTTATATCTTCTCAGTTTTACTGTTATCAATCATAAACAGCTTATTGTAAATCCAGTAATGAATTCTATTATTTTTGAAAGCATTTAAAAATGTTAAATATTCCCACCTCTTCAGAAAATCACCCTTCCTCATATATTCTTTTAGAAACAGTCATCAGATCTATGATGTATATTTCTTTTAATACAGAGAAGCATTTTATAATTGTTAGCATGTAATATTTTATTTCTCTGCCTCTGTAAAATGTATTTAGAAAAATGACAAGTCCATTAGTTAAAAAATGGAAAGAGTAATACTGAATGTAACTTTGGATTTATAATTCATTAGCTTATATATATTATATATATATATATATATATATATATATATATATATATATTAATACTGAAAGTAAAACCAGTTGAATATTTTTTAATGTAAATCTATTTGGTTCATAATATTTCACATAGATCTTTCTGCAAAAGGGTAAGTATACAGTTAGAGGAAAGATATTGCGGTGAGTTAAGTAATCTAGACAAGGTTCTGTTATTATGCCTTCTTTTTTTTCTTCTGATCAATTCTTCATTTATTCACATTTCTTTTTCAGTGCATATATCATTTTCTGGAAATTTGATATGATAAAGTTTATCATTAAGTTGAAAAAAAGGTTAATGCCATTCTTAACTATGTGTTTAGCTTAACCTCTTTAAAATACACAGAAACAGAACTTTCTTGATATTTTCATAAATTCAGAATATCTCTGGCCAGTGTTTATTTTCATTATTTGAAAAGAAAAAAATTATTTTTCTTACAATAAATATAGGAACCGTCTTCTTTTTTCATTAAATTTGTTTTATACTTTATTTTTAGGGCTAAAATACTATACAGTGGTCTCTTCAGATTTTCAGAAAATTGTGATTGATCAGTAATTTTGAATTCTCAAAGATTTCATTGACTTTTGACTCATTTAAATATATTTTCCCTTTACTTTTTTTTTCCAAAGCAGATAAAAAAAAAAAAATGTGCATATAAGAGACAACAGCCATTTTGAATATCACCAGAAAAAATAATTTAAAAAGAATTTATGCTATCCACTGGATCATGTGAAGATTATTTTTCTTAAATCTTTGAATAAGAAGACCTGATGTTAGCTCAGACATTTTACTTGTCTCACCAATGCCGTTATTTTTTGTCTTTTTTTTTTCACCTTAATAGTGGGAGTAAGGTGGGAGGGGAAGATAGGAGAAAATTGATTAAGATCAAGAAAGAGCTATATAAATAAAATTTATATTGAAGATCATAACACAAAAAAAATTTCCATAAAATTGATAGCAGATGCAACAACTGATGAAGATGTTTCCAGCAGTTACCAGTTAAATACACTGAAGAGAAGCAACAGAATAAACAAAGAAGAGTAACTTTTATATCTTTATCTGTCCCAAGCAGCCACTGAGGAATTATGATGCTTCAGGGCACCTATACTTTTTTTTTTTTACATGATCATGCACACAAACATGGTGTGTTTTGTTTCATAGATGCCAAAGAGAATAGGGGGTAAAAAAAGAAAGTAAATAGTTGAAGAAAGCAACACCTTATTTGTTATTCACTGTGAAATCATTTTCTTCATTCAGATCAGAGATTAAAAAATAATTATAGCCTCTCATTCTGTTTACTATTCACCAACATTAACAAAATGTGTTTTATTTATATATATATATATATATATATATATAAATATAAAATAGGGAAAAATATTTTCAAAATATAATTACAGAAAAGTTATTAAAGAAACAAAAAAAATGTTTCATATTAAATGGGGCACACATATCAAGAACAACTGTAAAATGCAAATGGGAGATAACTCCACAGGCGGTACCAGCGCAAATAGAATGCCAACAAAGCAGCACAAAACAAAGTAATTTTTCCGTTGTCAGTTATCACTGTGATATGAATCAGATGGGGTAGAGCAAAGACCCAGGTCACAACCCATCCCACCATGGGTTTGCTGGCAGCCAAATTAAGAGGGAATTTAAAATTTATGTTTTTAAAATTTTGATTAAATCCAGTTTTTTTTTTTTTTTCATTTATTTTATTTGAATTTTATCTTGTTTTAATTTATTATATTCTTTGTTTTATAATTTTGGCAGATTTTTTTTATTTTTTTTTGTCATCTTCGTTATTTAGTGTCAACTCAATGCAGGTTAGATTGATCAACTGTCCCCGTGCCAGAGAAATCAGACCGCACCTGGCTCAACTGATCATCATCGACTTGCTGGGTGTACTTGGGGCCGTGGGGTGTATCTGCCGGGCGGAGGATGGCCCGCTCCTCCTCTTGGTTATGATCGCTCTTTAAGTAGAAGTGAAATCCAAGGTTCAGTTCCGGGATCTCATACATCACTGTCAATGTGAGCATCATCATGATGACACCAAGTACCAAGTAACCTAAAGTGATATAAGACAGGAAATTGTCAAGTAAATTTTTAATACCAATAAATGAATTGAAAAATACATAAAAGAATAATAGAGATGCTTGTAATTATTACAAATCTATAATACTTGGATATTATAATATGTGAAATTAAGACTTTTCAGTAAATAAGCTTAATTTGGAGGAGGAGTACTTTTTAACAAATATTATTAAATTTAAATTCTTGAAAAATTATTTGGCAAAAATATTGATTCTATACCAGATAGACAATGTCAACAGTAGTCATTTAAGTGACGTAATCATTTCATGGTTAGTAAAAAGTTGATATAATCTTTTTAATTACAACTTTTTATGGAAAATTTTATAAAACTGTTAAATTCATAATTTATGCTAATACCAAATTTGGCTCATCCCCAAAATATTTAATTAAATTTCATAATAAAATGTGAAGATTTAAAGTAGAATTTGTTTCTTATATTTGTTTTATTTGATCCCCCACCCTGTACAAGGCCAGGGAACCACTCTGGTTAGAGAGTAAGAGGTACAGTTTATGTGGAAAAGATAACAGTTAATCCTAGACTTGAACAGATTGTAGTGATCAGGGAAGCATCATCTTGGCAATCAGTTCCATGAAGCAGTGGCTCATGGGAATAAGCTGCTTGTGTGGTACTTACATCTTAGCAAAGTAATACAGATGGAATGAGGGTGGTTTGCTACAATGTGCATGGCATTGGCAGGTCTTAGATGTAAAGGTTAGGATTGAAGGAACTAAAGAATATAGTTCATCTGAGCACTTTCCATAGAAATGGCAATAGAGCAGCAAGAGGCTTGCGACATCTTGTCTGTGAGAAAGGGGTTGTAAATGGAAAATAATTCATCACCCTCTCAAGTGTGGAAAGTGAAGCCTAAATAGTTCCTGTCTATATATCACAGTAGTACACCATTTGCAGCCTGATCTGGCTCTTGTAAAGGTAGAGGATAGCAAGAAGTGTAAGGAACTTGCTAAGAGGGTACAGGGAACCAACCATTTTTCCAGCATCTTTAGCAATGGATTGTATGTACAAGTTCCACTTGAGGTCTAGGTTGAATGTGTCCCAATAGGCACTCAAGGAATGAGGCCTCTCTGAGTGAACATTTATTCATTGTAATTGCTGATCGGCTCCAGAACTTTCACCAAAGTTAGAGTGTCGCCAGTTTTGTTTTAGAGGCATTGAATGTGACCAGCCAGTTTTTCCCCACTGAGCACTAGTGATATAGGGTTTTGGTGGTGCACCCATATTCTGTTGTACCATCAGCATAGATATTCCCAAAAGATCAGAGCTTACTCTTGGGCAGATCATTTATATAAAGTAGGAAGATAGTTGAACTAAGAAGCAAACCTGGGGTGATGGACGCCTGCATTGATCACTTGGGCCTTGGAGGACTGGCTATTAAGAACTACTCGCTTTTATTATTTGTTGAATACAATTAATAAAATTGTATTCAACAAATAATACAAGTGAATGAAGACAGTGTTTAAGGTTAATATGTAAGCTATAATTGATGTGTCTAAACAAATTAAAATATACAATTACATTAATAGTAGTAAATTACTCAAAGAAACCTTTAATCTGAATAAATTGTTTTATTGCTACTTTTTGTTCTTTATACAAGTTATATAAATTGTAAAAGCAAAATTGATCAGTTATTTCCCAAAATAGTTCATTTTATTTTTCACAATTCTAAAATTGCACATTGAAATTTCTTTATTTCTCAAGCTCCCCACATCCAGTAAATTAACAAGTGAGATATTTTATTGGCATATTTCAAAATTACATTAAAATGTATAAATTATAAATAAAAGACAAGAGCTTACATAAATGAATTATAAAGAAACAAATGTCTTAAACCAGTGGTTCCCAAACTTTTTTTTTTCCCTCTGGGACACATTTTCAGAGTGAAATTTGCTCACACCTAAACAAAGGGAAGTGTCAGTGAAAAAGTGAAAGCAGCCCTACAGCAAAGAAGGTTCATAGAAAGAGTTAAAGGGAGATAACTGCTGATTCAAAGTCAGAACATTATCATTGATAATTCTCTCTTCCAATTTGTGGAGCCTAGTTACTGTATTCTTAATACTTTATATAAGGTAAAAATATCATAATGATAAGATTGTTTAATAACTATTTATACTGGGACTCATGCATGCAATTACAAGTAATGTATAATAATATTTGAAATTTTGAAAATGTATTTATTTTTGGCATATGAATTTTTTGAAACTGTTTCTAAATCTTTGTCTTTCAATCATTCCACCTAACCTGCTATACTCTTCTGTCACACCTATGAACCACTGTCTTAAACAATCAACCGATACAAGTAATTACCAAAAGATAATCAGTTGCTTTAAAGATTGAAGATGAATTCATGCCAATCCTAGTAGCATTAATTCCCACCTTAAAATATTGTATTATAAAACAAAGTAAATACAGTATTAATTATAGGTTTATAAAAAGTCTACCTATATAACCCATTAATGTCCAACATCCCCAAAATAGGATAGGTGTACTGTATTGAGTAAATACAAACCTCATTATCTCCCTTAGCCCATTCCTTTATTAACCAATCAGAATCACAATAAAGATGGTAACTGTGTTCATCTCACATCATATTGAGTTAAAAAAAAACATTTAATACATTAACATTAAAATAATACATATAATGCTATATATAATTTTCTTCTAAGCTCTAAAAAAGATATGTTAGAAAAATCAGAAGGTGCTTATCTCTCTTTGGTGGAAATAAGTCACACAATCATGTAATGGCTGTTTAGTGACATCACACTATACAGTAACAAAAGTGTCAGTCAAATTTAGTTTGTTTACAGCAGCCATCATGTGAAGTTGCTTTCTTTTAGCCTGAGCCAAGATGTCTAGGACCAGGCTAAATTTGCTTCCCCCAGCAGCTTACAAGCACATGGTGCTATTTCCCTCTGGGAATACATCTTTCCCAGATATAGAAAAAAAAATCCAGCCAGTAGTCCTCAATTTAGGAAAACCCAAGAATCACTGTTTCCCTGTTTGTGGAATATATCCTCAACTAGGACATAGATGAATCCAGCCCATTTGAATCTGGAGTCCTAAACAGGGTTTCTCCAGACACAGGAGTATCTCCATATTATATGTAAGACCACTCCTTTTGTTTCTTGTTAAATTCTGCTTTGATGTGTAGGTATGTGATATATTATTCTCTTCATGAGACATGTACATTTGTATATATAGTTTTGTGTATGTCTTAGTGGTATAAAAGTCTCTCTGAAAACAAAGCAATTCCTTTCAGCAATTCAATTCTGTCCATGAAATACAGAGTTATTATATCACAGATATAATACTACCCATAATGAGGTAATACAAATGGGAGAATAAATCTTTCTTCCATAGCTGTCTCCTATTACATCTACATGTTAACATCCAGAATATCTTGGTAACTAAGAAAAGTTGTATTAAAAAAAAGGATCAATGTGATATTTGCAATAATCTATCCATAGTGATCAGTTGATAATAAAAACAAAAACCGTATTTAAAGAATAATTGATACATTCCCTCAAACTATGAACACTTACCTGTTGTGGCCACTTTATAGACAGCCCTGTACTTTTGGTCAGGGTTATCCCCAGGAATGTAGTCGCCCAGCCCGATGGTGGTCAGAGAGATGAAACAATAATAGAAGCCATCTAGGAAGTTCCAGGTAGGTTCCAACACGGAGAAAATAGCTGATGGGATGAGGAAGAAGAAAACAAGTAAGAGGACAGCAATCAGCAACAAATGCAGCAACCGAATGTGGAAGACACGGTACAGATGGCCTAGCTTACGTAGCATGAACTGCAGCACATATGTAACAGGAAGCATAAAACGCTCAACCATTGCAGTGAACATTATAAGAGTTAACGGAATGCCAATCAGGGCATAGATGATGCAGAAACCCTTGCCTGCATCAGATAAAGGTGTCACACGGCCATAACCTGAGAAAAAAAAAACAAACAAGAAGATAATTAACTGTTCTATAAAAATAACTATTTTGCAACACTCATTTAAAAGGTGATAAAACTATTTCTACATATGGATATTTCATTCTAAAAGTAGTGAAATTTGGTGAAATTTAATGTGATAGCATTCAAGTGATGTTCTTGGATTTTCCTGTTTTCAATGAGATGTGCAGAAACATATTTTTACCTCTTTTTTTATGACTGACTCATTAGTGAAGAAATGAATCATGTGTGCCATATTTGGAGCCAAGTAGAGGATAGAAGGGCTTGATTCCCTATCCTAGCTAATGAAGAAATTCACCTATCTTCAAACTCAACTCAATTTATGTAAATTATCTCATGTATATAACTTTTATTTTATTCTTAATGCTTTTTAATGCAATACTTGATTTAAAAATATTATAATTTAATAATTATTCAAAAAGAAAAATATTTTTTATATTACAATAATGATTTTCAAACTTTAAATTGGTGTTAATGAAAAGGATATGTAGCAGAAGGTATATTTCATAGTTAAACAGATACACATGGACACAAGAAAGCCATAATTAAAAAAAACAGTTCTCATGTAAGCTAAAAGATAAAATATATGAAAAAAGATTACAATCTTTAATATTCGAAATAAATAGCATGATTAGTTTTCAAATTCAAAACATTCTTTCTAGTGAGATACTTACCAATTGTGGTAAGAACTGTAGTTGCAAAAAAGAGTGATTGGCCAAAACTCCAGTTGGGCTCAGATATTGTGACATTCTTTGAAGCTGACACGCCTCGGTTGGCTGCTCTCACAATAATATTGATGAAACTTTCTAATTCTTCCTCTATAACAAAAAAAAAGACATTATCAGATGATTAATAATTAACAAAATTAATTTTACTTTAGGCACAAGAAAAGTAGAGATCTACTCAATAGCAATGACATATTCCTGATATTTCCAATGTTGATGTTGATGCAATTAAGAGGTTTTACAGCCTTTACATATTTATCTTTTTTAATGTTTAATTCATAAGTATACATAATCAGCATGAATATGTTTTTAAAATTTTGAATACAAAATGACATTAATGAAACAAATTGGAAAATAAGTCTTGTAAGTTTTCAATGAATGTATATCAAGTTTTAAATTATAAAGGAAAAAATTAACCCTATTCAAATGGAATCAAATCTCTTTCTTCTTAGAATAAATTTTGCATTAATAAATTATGACATATAATTAAATATCACTCAAGATTAAACATTTTATACCTGCCTCATAGCTGTCTTTGTAAAAATCCATCATGGTCAAATTGGAAATTAAGCATAAAGAGTAATTTTCAAAAAATAGTAATCATGGAAGAAGAAAAATTGGCATTTCTAAATGAGAAAAACTGTTACAACACATTTCCTATTTTTATCATTATTATTATTATTTCTGATAAAGCCATTTTATGTATTAAGTAATGATAGAATGCTTAAATTCTTAGACAATTATAAAAAAAAACAGTAAAATACAATTATAAATTACAAATACTTATATTCTCAACGAAAGAACTAAATATAAAATTTAATTTATCAATTATTTTCAATGTCCAAATATTTTTTTTAAATTTTACAATAAATTATTTAGAAATTTTAAAATTCTCAACAAATTCAACAAGATTATTTTGAGAAAATATTACAAAAAACATGATATAGTTATTCGTTTAGTTTATCCGTCTGTATATCAACAAAGGTAAAGTAAAAAAGTAACCAGAATTCCAGATCTATAAATCCTAAACAATGTTAAAAAATCCACCTTTTTTAGCAATTGGCTCTATTTTATAAAATCCTGATCCTTATATCAATCATTTATAAAGTTTATATACAAAGTTAACCTTTGTTTATGAGCATAACAGATTACTTAAGCGAAAGGGATGGCGTAATGAAGAGGACATTGTTAAGCGAAGAAAATGATTGTAATCATGATTGATTTCTATAGGTACTAATTTATATTAATGTTTTTAAAGAGGCATGAACCCCAACTTCATATAACAGTTCTACCACCAGTCATCAAAGTTTACTATTGTTTTACCATGAGCAAATTTTTTGAAGGAAAAAGAAAAGATGCAATTACCTCAACTACACACACACATTCAGTCTTCAAAAAAGGGTTGAAGTTATGCAAATGAATATTCATATGCATAAAATCTTCAATAACCAAGTAGTATAAAACAGGTTTTGACTTGTCAGTTCAAAGCAAAAAGATAATCGATGAAAATGTGGTTGTAAATTTACCAAAGGACATTGATAAAAACAACCTATAACAAGTAGAAAATCAATAGTCTTCTATTCAGCCAATCAGGAGAGACAGAGAATTTGAATAAAAAAGATGTGATACACCTGTATATGTAAATGATTTTTTGAATGTTAATTTTTCTTTGACAACATAAGAACATATAAACTTTATTTTTGTTAATGACTTTCCCTAATTAGTTTCCTATTAATTACTTTATAATAAAAATACAAAAAATTTCTGAATAGGTTTTACAATTATTTGATGGATTTCTTATCTAAAATAATGAATGCTTTAAGTAGTCCAAATCCAGTATCGATTAATAAAACTCAACAATAATGAATATATTTTACTTAGTCTGTATTGGAAAAAATGACACTTAAAAACTTGATTGTATGGTCAATGATGTAAAGACTTTTTCCTGAATTATGGAATGAATAATTTGTAAGATGATCTGAATTACATAGTGCAAAAAATTTCATGATCATGTAGTTTTCTGTCAGAAGCATCATGTGGCATGTTACTGGTGTTGAATAAGTAATAAAAATTGGCAAAGATATTTAATAATATACAAATGAATTATCAGTCTTATCAATTAGATAAAATGTTAAATAAGGGCTATATCAACCGAGAGAAATAGAACAGTTGTTTTTACAATCACTAAAAGAATCAAGTTAAAATAGGATAATAAATGTAATTAAAGATCACTACTTGAAGTGTTCTTAAGAAAGTCTTAATGGTAATCAGAACTTGAAGATGTGAATTTATAACTGAAAATTCACTTCAAGTTGGCTAACACAAAAATATATATTTAGATGCAGAGCAGTGTAGCATTTTTAAAGTCTTTTTTCATCTCTTGTAAATAACAACTGATTTATTTACACTGGTTCTATAATCGAATACTTAGCAGAAAATTAAAAAAGATATTTTAAAAAATACTCAATATATTTGATCCATAAAGGGAACAGTATGTAAAAATAGCTAATAAAATGATTCGGAGGTTAAAATTTAAAAAAAAACAAATTAGGAAAAACTTTATCCAATGTACAAACATTGCAACATTTTATTTTAAAAGAAAAATATTAGAACACTTAAAAAAAACTCCAATAAGAGAAAACTGCATAAGGAATTGTGAAAATTAACATGATTTTCAGTCATAAAAATCAACTAAAAATGGCAATAATGATTATAGATATTCCAAGAAAGTCACACACACAAGATATGACTAAAAAGTAAGATACAGATAGGTATAAAATGACCGAAATTAAACAATGTGAAAACTATAAGCATAACTGCATTACTTCTTGTAGCAGCCATAAAAGCCTTATTCAATATATAACTATGTGATGTCACAACAAATATGGCTGCCACCAGAAAACAGCAGCATGAGGTGTAATAAAATCTTTGCATACCCAAGACAAAATTCCAACAAAAATTCACTATGAATTTGTTGTTCTGAATGGAGAACACATAATGAACAGGAAGCATAAATCTGGGTTAGTACATTCATATACAAATCTGTAGAAAAAGCTTTGTGTAGTATGTCCATAATTATTAACAACAGAAGACAATAATGTGCATATTAAAGCTTTGTCTCAAGATGACAGACAGTGAAACCTTTGTGATATGGCTGCAAAAACAGGAAGTTGATTGATCTTTTTTTTACAGTCCATCAACTCTTTGCTGGCCATTTAAAGCCAGAAAACATTTTTTAGATTGTAAAAAATGTTTTTGGAGATAATAATGGTTTAGTGATACAAGTCTTACTAATTAACTCATAGCTGGGTAGGGGAGAAGAGGCAGATTCATATCTTTCCCAAGGGTATTTGTACATAAGTGAATATAACAAACCCAATGGGAATTGGAACTTGGCTCTCCAATTAACGATTTTTGGATGTGGATGGTGTAATGGATAATGGCTCAGAATCATTAATCATGATTCTAAAAACAAAGGTTGATTTCACAAGCTGGAAGCATCTGTACTCACAGACTCCAACAAAAAAGAATTCCAAGTTTGTTTGTTTTTTTTTACAATAATGTTCACTCTGTACAAGGCCAAAGAGCCACTCGAGGTAGAGGGTTCCACAGTAAGGGATACAGTTTAAGGGGATATGTGGGGAAGAGAATGTTTAACCCTAAGCTTGAACAGGTTAAGATTGTAGTGATCAGGGAAGCATTCTCTGGGAGTCAGTTCCACAAAGCAGCAATTAATAGGAAGATGCTGTCCAAGTGGGATATGAAGGGAATAAGGTTGGTTTTCTACAATGTGCATGGTATGGGGGGGTCTAAGCAGTGAAGGTTAGAAATAGTGGAACTAAGGAATATAGTTCCATGGAAACAGTGATAGAGCAGTGAGAAGCTTTCAATGTTTCATCTCTGGGAAAGGGGTTGTAGAGTGGAAAATAATTCATCACCCACAAGGATGCAGAGATGCTTCCAAAACTAGAAAATGAAAACTGGGCAGCAGTACTCCATTTTTGGCCTGTTCAGCAATCAATGAAGAAATTGTGTTTAAGGATGCAAAAGGTGTGCTGCTCATCGATTTCAGATCATATAGTCAGACAGAGGAAACTGTTCATCAAAAGACATCAGGATATTTGTGTAAAAATGTCATCCTGATGCTCAACACCATCACTCCATACATGGTTGACCTGATAAGAGAATGTCTCCAGGTTTAGATATTTTACCACATCAATCATATAATATGAAGGATCTGAGTCAGGACTATTATCTGTTTGGGTCCCTCAAATGACATCCAGGAAGTGGTTCCACACAGCTGATACTTATTACAGAGGTGTATGAGTGGCTTCAGTCACTTGACACTAAATTCTACAAGAAGGGTGTTAATCAATTTTATTGGAACAAATGAACTAATCTTGATGAAAGCTATGGGGAAAAGTAGCATAGTAGCATACACAATTTTTATATATAGTAATAAGCATGTCAAAATTATCATTTGAAGCGGTTGGAAATGATTTATAATGTTAATGGTAATATTAGCCATTTCCTTAAAAGGAAACATTCAGCATTCATTGACAGAGCAGCAAGTGCTGCTGTTAATTGAAATTTATAAAATCTTTCTTTTGAAACAATTTTTCAGGTTTCTCATTCTTTCCAGTATTGATGTGGGCTTCCTACCTAACCTTTTATTTGAATAATAATTCAAGTTACATGAGATATCCATTTTAGTTGTTGCTGCTGTTGAAAGTGATGTGGTTTCTATTATCTGGCATAGTTCTTTATTTGTGATTCTGTAGCACCAGCCAACAATCTTCAAAGAAGGATCACCTTCACCAAGATCCACAGGCTTCTCTTGCTCAAAGCTATTTTTAACCATTGATCTCAGAAAGTGTCCATGCATGACATCCATATGAAAGTCTCAATTTGACAAGGCTATTTAAAAACATGACTTAAGTTTTCAGATTAATGTTTTGGTTTTGTAGAAATTTGCAGTGTTAGGCAAAACTACCACTAGCACAGCCGATTCTATGTTCAATTTCTTTATCTGTTATGATAAATTTGTTATAACTGATCCATACACCAAAGTATTTGAAATGTTTGATGTTCAC